AGGTTTTAATGTAGTGTCGTATATCGACAGTTTAAAACTTCGTTTCTCTACTTTTACTCTGTCTTCGTACGGCTATGTTTCCGCTTAGATTGTTAGGAGTCATGACATCTCAGTAAAACGGGGTATTGGTCTATCCATGATTATTTAGAGTACTATGGATCGTTTTTCGAACGGGAAGTTTAGTCCTAACGTGATTTGCATATATCAAACTTTTGCTGTGTTCTTACGCAACAAAAGTACCATTTCAGTTCTAAAGAATCTATCCTGAGCTATACGTTCGGTAGATTACTTTTTTTTGAGTTTCACTATATTTAATAGTTACCTGTGGTTTTGCCTCAGCTTACTATTCGGTTTTTTTTGTTTTTCACGTATAGACTAGTTTCAGTTTATATCACTCGTTTTGTCCATTTTTGTCCGTTTTCAGTGTGCATTTTAGTGTGTTTTTTTTAAACAAGGTCTTAAGCTTTTGCAAGCATCTATAACATAGTTTGCTTCAACACCGTCATGAAAAACTCATGCAAACGTCCGGGATGCCGTTTTGCTGTCACAACTGGCATGCAGTGCGACAACTGCAAAGGTTGGTTCCACGAAGCATGCACAAATCTGACAGCAACTGCTTACAACAGACTCAGCAAGTCAGACCAAAAGTGGGTATGTGTCACGTGCAACACGGACGCAGTAGTCTTGCTGAGTAACATCATTGTCCTACTGACAGGTCTTCGGAATAAGCTGTCAGTTAACTTGGAACACGACAGTAAAAAAACCAATATACAAACAAGAGCGCGCAACGTACTCAAAAATAGGGATGTCGATAGGTATACCATCGATGGAGCATCCATCAACACTAATGACGAGGTGTCGAGGCTCAGTGCCATGATTACGTCGACGGTACTAGACTCCCTAGGCAAACTCGGGTCTCCCAGCTCAGGGTCCCTGAACACAACAGTGGTTCCCAAAAACCCTGCAGGTGATTCGACCCACGTTAAGAGAGCCCAAAAGAACCAGGCATCACCGCCTAAGCCGAGCAACCCAAGTGTTGCTGCACGAAAAATAACTGGTGATTTAGTCGCACAGTCTACCCCCAAGACTGTTCGTCCGGTCAATAAAGAGCCCAAGATTCACAAACGCACACTGACCTCCAAACAACAAGTTATTAAACGTGAACCCATCGTGAAACCTGGTAAATTAACAACAGTTCGTGACGATTCTCTCATTATCATGAACCTCGTCGACAATCCTGACCTTCCTCTCAGTCTGCAGGATAAAAACGACAGGATGCTGTGGGGTGAATTGAACAAAAAGCTCGAACTTCCTAGAATAGAGCCTTTGACGGTCACCCGGCTCACTCGAGGAAAGAATTCTAAGCATCTAAATCACCCGAGGCTTCTCCGAGTAACACTTAAGAATGCTACCGACGTAGAGGACGTCTTGCTAGCAAGTCACTTACTGAAATCAGATGGTACGTAAGAATAATGCCCGACATACCGTACTCTGAGCGCAATATCATACGAAACGTCCCTAAAGAATCTCACGAGAAGTTCTTCCGCGGAAGAAACATAATTGTCCAAAGTATACCGGAAAATGCAGACCCTACTCAATCAAATTCTGACATCAGGGAATGGAAATTCATCAAACAGTCCTTGAGGCTCAAACACATACTGACTCAGCATGTGACGAGACTAGCCAAGAAGGACGGTGATCTTAGACCCCGTCTAATGAAGATAACCTTCCCATCTTCCCACATGGCGGCTGCAGTTCTGGAAGCATTTCGTGCTAATAGACGTCGATTGCCACCTGGAATCCACATGCACCCGGATAGGCCATACGAAGTCAGGACCAAGAACAAAGGCAAGTTGGAGCTGACCATTCCACTTGTGGACTGTCTAAACGATAAAAAAACGTGTAAAGGACAGGGCCTACCACCTCGGCAAACCTCATATAGGTGGGCTACCTGTCCATTCACATAAGGTTCATACAGAAAAACAGGACGAAGCTCATGCGTTCCAAATTGAAAGCATAAACTGCTTATATACGAACGCCGCGAGTTTACCAAACAAACTGGATGAACTACGTGAACTTAACAACGCTAACAAGGCCCATCTGATAGGAATATCTGAAACCTGGATATCTTCTCAGTTCTCGGATCAAGAGTTAGCATTACCTGGGATGACTTTGTTCCGCAACGACAGAAAAATAGGAATTGGGGGCGGAGTAGCCATATACATAAGCTCTTGCTTGGAGGTGCACCAGGTTCACAACCTCGAGTTTAACAATCTTGAGGAATCCATATGGTGCTCTGTAAGGTTGTCTAGTACTTCCAGGTGTCTAGTCGGAGTCATTTACAGGAAGCCAACTGCCGACACCGAGTACGATAGTCGTATGCTGGAAGGACTATCCCGCTCTATCCGTCTCGGTTTCACACACATCCTGATTCTAGGGGACTTTAATCTCCCTAGAGTCAACTTCGCGGAACACACGTACACTGGAGGCGACAACTCAACTGAAGCTCGGTTCTTCAACCTCATCGATAACTTGGGCTTATATGAAAATGTGAGGTCGGCAACTCGTTGGAGAAGCAGTCAGACACCATCGCGCTTAGACTGTGTATTCACTAACGAAGAATTCCTAGTCGACAACCTCTCAATCCTGGCTCCTCTGGGAAAAAGCGATCATGCCGTCATAGCCTTCAGTTTTGTCATCAAAACTAAGCTAAGGTATCCCAACAATAATTTGCGTTGGAATTTTAAACGGCTGAATGTGCCAGCTCTACATGACCATCTACAACAGGTGGTTTGGGATGTTCACCCTCAAATCGATGTGGATGGTCATTGGGACTTCTTGCTGCACACGCTCTTATGTGCTACAGACCATTCAGTTCCTCAAACGGTTCCCAAAAGCTTCAAGCCACCTACAGTAATCAAGAACCGTACCCTTCGCCTCCTAAGCCGCAAACGGCACTGTTGGGCGGATTACAAACGAACTAATAACGATGGAGCGTATAGGCAATACAAACATATCAGGAACATATGCACGAAGGCTATAAGAGAAGACAGGCTTCAGTACCAAACAAAGCTTATGGACAAATTCACCTCTAACCCTAGAAGCCTATTCCGTTATGCAGCCTCTCTTCGTCAAGCCAAAACAGGAGTTTCTCAACTGCTAGGTCCTAACGGCCCGACCAACAACGATGGCGACGCCGCTAACCTTCTGGCGGCCCATTACTCTCAAACATTTCAACCGGCTGATATCAACTTTATTGATGACAGTTTCATCTGCAATTCCACAGGACTTTCTGAAGTGGACCTAAGCGCTGACTTGGTGTTCCGGAAACTGCAGCACTTAAGACTTGACACTTCTCCTGGCCCGTATATGGTTCATCCTGCCATACTGAGGGAGGCAGCCTCAATCCTGGCAACGCCGCTTAGCGTGATGTTTTCACACTCGCTTAGCCGAGGCAAACTACCGGAAAATTGGAAGTTGGCTCACATCACACCAATTTTCAAAGGTGGTCGACGCAATGAACCTTCAAGTTACCGGCCGGTAGCTCTTCTGTCGTTACCTTCAAAACTCATGGAGTCCCTGATATGCGACGGTTTAAATGACTACCTACTGTCCTTAAATTTCTTCTCACCACAACAGCATGGTTTCAGGAAGGGTTACTCTTGTATAACCAACCTGCTGACTGCGGTGGACAGATGGACAAGCATCCTCGATCGCAAGGGAAAGGTTGATGTCATTTACCTTGATTTCTCAAAAGCTTTTGATAAGGTTAACCACTTGTGTCTTATCAACAAGCTCAAACGACTAGGTATCAAACCACCTTTAATCGACTGGCTTAATTCATACCTAAAAAATCGACACTTTAAGGTTAGGGTTAATTTCACTTTATCTCAAGCTATGGAATGTCCTAGTGGGGTCCCCCAGGGCTCAGTACTAGGGCCTCTTCTCTTCTTGATCTACATAAATGATCTTCCTCAACAGGTAACGTCAGACTTATTACTTTTTGCCGACGACGTGAAACTTTGGAGAGATGCGCAACCAAGACGATATACAGGCACTTCAAGAGGATCTGACTCGACTTCAAAGTTGGGCAGACGATAACGGACTTACCTTTAACACTTCGAAGTGTAAAGTAGTCCATCTGCGACATGTCGCAAACTACAGTTACAACTTAGGAAACTCCTCTCTAGTAGTATCCCAAGTCGAAAAAGATTTAGGAGTCCTGGTGCCCCATGACTTAAAGTCTTACGCTAACTGTGACAAAAATGCCTTCCGAGCAAACCTTGCACTGGTAACGTTGAGGCGCATTTTTGGCCAGTTTGACGGAAGAACTTTCCACACAATCTTCAATAGTTTCATCCGTCCCCATTTAGAGTACGGAAACATAGTACTCCCCCCCTCACTCCAAAAGGATAAGGTCACTTTGGAGCGTATCCAACAGCGAGCCACGAAATCAGTTCGAGGACTCAAATCTAAGCCTTACGAAGAACGCCTCCGTTCACTAGACCTTTACCCACTAGAATATAGGCGTCTTAGAGGTGATTTATTAATGGCTTATAGTATTCTTAACACTTCTGGACATCCTCTTAAACACCTACTTAAGCTTAGTTCGAACAATAACCTAAGGGGTAACACCCAGAAACTGGAAACACAACATAGCAAGACGGAATGTAGACACAACTTCTACTCCTTAAGAGTTGTCAAAAGCTGGAACTCGCTGCCGGCCGAGCTAGTCCAAGCGACTTCTCAGGAGTCCTTCAAGAGGCAACTTGACCTATTCTTAAGGACCAAGGACAGCATCACATTATGATTTACCAATTTCTTTTCCTTTTTTATTGTTAACATACCTAGGTTCCTGCCTGGAGGATTTGGTGATCCCCTGCTACTAGACACGGAAGCCTGTTAAGCGAAAGCTTCTTCTATTCCGTCCACAACCATTTGAACCATTTTGAACCATTTGAATATTGGACACTTTGTCTTGTATTTGTAAAACCAACAGTTGAAGGTCATCGTCACCGGACAATCAAACCTTTTGGACCATAGGCCTATGTTGTGATTTCGAACTGTTCCTATTATCTCTAATTCATGTGGCTTGTCTACCGTTAAAGGATGCCACTAGAATTTGTCATGTCATTGGACATACAGGTGCTGACTTGTTGAACTAATTACTTGAATCGATTTCCTTCAATAAGCTTAACAAATGTTTAGGCACAGTCAAGAGGTGCCAAATATTTTTTTGGGGATTGAGTGATCAAAGTAGTATCGTAGTAATTCACTAGCGCTTGTCTCCACATGAGTTCACTACGTCGGAATCCTGTAGGGAATGCAAGATTCTTCACTACTGGTAGAATGTCACATAAAAATGTTTCCAAATTTTGTCGGTCTCCGGGGGGAATCCTTTTTTCGAGTGTATCAGGTGGGTTTCCCGACGTCCATTCCTCAGACGGATACTCTGCAAACGTTCCAGCGAAGTGTGCTCAGAAGGAAGATGAAAGGAATATCCACCCTGTCTCTCTCTTTAATAGCCTTCTAGATCCTAACATCGAGTTACCAACAATTAGTGTTCGAGAAGTTGATGAAATACTCAGCAATCTGACTTCTGAAAACTCGTCTCCATCCAAACCCCCTAATGGTTTATCAAGCAACAGTACTACCCATATTAATTTCTGTGATATACCTGACAGTCTATGTCACGATTCAGTCAGATACATTAAAAGTGAAGCTATCAGTAAGCCACATCCTTTCAGTGGAAAAAATTGTTCGTTGAAGTCTGTCAAAGTCAGCCTTATCAATGAGACTGAAGGCATAGGACACAATGTAGCTAATGATTCATCTATGTGTATCAATAGTCCTCAAGTTGACCGACTACCTGTGTCATCAAATGTATGCCACACCTTGGTTTTGGATAGTACTGTCTCTTCTGAGGCTAGAAATTCATTCGATGATCTAGGCACTCTTGACAGCCCACCTGTACAAAATTCTTGTCATATATCTTCCTCTAGGCATCAGACCATTGATGTTAAGAAACACGGAAATGAAATTCCCCATAAGAAGAATAATCCAAAAACTGTTTCTCTTCAATCAATGGAGGATATACTTCCCCTTTTTCCATCATGCCGAAGTGTAGCTGAATTAGGTGCATTAGCACTTGGGTCAGAGTCCAGCGGAACAGTGGCTCATAAACATAAGTTCCCCAATGCAACACTGCGCTCTAAAGCGTGCTCTGGTACGAACCTCTGCAACATATCCACAAAAGCCTCCATATCTAATGTTCTTCGTGATCGCTCTCCAATTGGAAGTCTCGACTTGGCCACTCATGCAAGATACCAAAATTCTTTTAACGCTTCAAATATTCATGAGGCAAGCAGGTATCGACAAGCATATCTGTCAGTAAGAAAAGCAAATCAGGCCAAAATTTTGTCCAAATCTACTGCGAATACGGATGAGTTTTCTGTTTTTAATGCTAAAAGTCAAGGAAATACAGGCAATCAACATGTGAGTGCTAGTTCTTGGTAAATTCCTGTTTTTGATACTCGGCCATGCCTTTTTTAATGATTAAAAACAAGTCAAGCAAATGGTACATGTGTTAAGATTAATAACTAACCAGCCTAAAACAACATACTTAAATGCGGTCTGTTTTTCATCCGAATAATCATAGTAATGTTGTACTCAGGTGATACTGCAAGCCAGTAGATCAGCATATAATTTCACCCTGCGCATTAAATGCTAGAGCAAATCTGTGCATTTATCTGTAGGTGCTTACAGCGTGTTATTCAGTTGTTCCCAAAGTTTGTTGGATCTCATTTGTTGCTTGGATAATAAACCTTACTATGTGATAACAGCGTCGATCCTACTCTTCCTAGTTACCCTCATGGATAAATACTGGCCTAGTTAGCATTAAAAACATCAAATAACTGCCAGTAAGTCCCTGTAGGTATCAACTGTAAACGAATGGTTCGAAACCCTTTATGTTTGCTTTACTCCAAGCTGTTGAATGGTGTCGTTCCTCTTTACAACTTTTCCTAACTTTATCCACAGACATCTGTGACTTCAGTTGTTTATTCGTTACTCAAAGATTTACTTAACGATTACCTACCAATCATTTATATTTAAACATTTCGCCTTAACTATATGGCAATTGCCATTACTACCCAATCGCAAAAGTGTAGTATATGTTTTTCGTCAAGTTTGTGTGAACCGTTTTCTTCCATGTAGGTTTCTTATCAACCACTGAAAAGTCCTCAGCCCACGGCGGGTATGGAAATCACGTCGACAAATCGTCTTGGTTGTTCAACAGGTACTACTTCGGATGACCGTTTCAAACATATTGTAAGTAGTCAGTTGTTTTTCTTTATCCAAAAGTCAGGAATAATTGTCCCTTAACACTGATTTTAACGATTGCCTTTAATTCAACATCTGAAATAATGCTAGAGTGGTCGATTTTAAAGCGGAAATATTTATTATCATTTATGTCGAACTTCTTCCCATGCATGCTCAGAATTAACTACCTAGTTTCTATTTTCTAGATATTAGTCCACTCCTTGAAAAGATTTAATCAGATTCTTCTGAACGCAGTAGGTGAACCTAGAATATTTCAAGTGTCTAACATTTTTTAACTAGAAGATACCTCAATGCATTATAACACCAATTAATAAAGTTCCTAGTTATTGTCTTTAGCTTTCTGAAAAGTAAAAGTTTTCTGATGAATTTTTGTCGAAATCAGTCGTTAGGATTCCGAATTGATATATTTCAGTTTAGTCAGTCTGGAGTATACGCATTTTTTTCTCATGTCTTAGATACCATTTTATTCAAAAGTTATACTCATTGTTTACAGATTTATTCCTAATTGTGCATACCGTTTTCCTACCACTTTCAACTTAATCCGTTTACAACATAAGTAGAATGGAGCACATGCTTCTTAATAGATCCTACATTTTGTCTATTTTATGGACTTTCACTAACTAATAGTACTCATTTGTCAACTCGAAGTTCAGTGTATTATTAGTTTTAAGTTCATTTTAACCTTCAAAGGTGGATTACCACTTAAGAACCGGACGTTTCCCGAACTGAGGAAACAATGATCCGTCTAATGTGTCTAATCAGTTAGTGTGCATGATCTTCAAATTATGTGCGCTCATATTGTAATATCCTTTCTGATGTCTGTTATATAATACTTTGAGATTGAACTGAATATCATAAAATTGGTAAGAATTTTTCAGTTTTGTTAGAATACCCATATTTATTCCTACTTTGAAGTATAATTGCCGTTTAATCGTGTTTTTTCCAACAACAGTGTCCTCATCCAAGGTGCGGTCGTCGATACCAGGCTGAAATTGGACTTCTTCGTCATTTAGTTAAATATCACGGTGAACAAATTGAGTTGCCTCAGAGAACGCGCCCTGTAGCTAATCAGCAAATGTTGAGACGTCCGGCATCAGAGGAAAGGACGATAACATCCATAGAATTTAATGATATTGACGAAATGGTGAAAATCTTTTTCTTTGCTTTTTGTATTATGTTTCTGTTTTACTCTAAGATTTCTAAAACAATGAGCTTAATTCTAATTATGTTGGAACCAATTAGTTGCTGATTTATTTTGGTCATTTTCCCCCTTCCGTTGGTTATCAGATTGTACGTTCAGGTTCATGTGCATGGCTTTTGATTCACGCTTTTTTGTCCAACTTAATTTCAGTCGGGATATAGGGTTTTTACGAATCCACCAAAGATCACACAGTAAATACTTATATGTTTTACTTGTAGTAGAACTTACATTCTTGTTCTAATTTTGTTTCTATAATGCTTTTGACTAATTGGTTACTCATTAACATCGACTCAACAGCTTTATAAAAGTATACGAAAGCATGAATATCATATTTAAGTACTTAAAATAGAATTTTAATTATATATATATATATATATATATATATATATATATATATATATATATATATATCGTCCAACAGTATTTATGTAAAATAAATGGGTTTTGGTTGGCGATGGAATCTAAGGTACGCGTTCTGTCCTGTTCGGTATTCTTCAGCTGGATGCGTCTACACCTCGGTATTGATGTTTACATTGCGACTTGAATGAGGAACCTTTCACTCCCGATATCAACGCATTATCCACTAAACTGCAGGGTCTAGGTAGCCAAATAGTGAAAAACGCCCGTTCTTGATTTCACTGCTAATCACAATACATATATTCTAAGTAGTTTGTGAAAAATGACTACTTCAAGACAATTCCGTCAAAATACACGTATGCAGACACAGACTGAACTAAATTTAATACAAGATATCAACAGTAGGGTAACTGAAACCTGTACTATTGGTAATCCAGATGTTAATATAGTTCACTCCTCACTTTCATTTCGTTGACTTTTCGGACAACTTTTTAAAATGACTTGTTCGCAGAGTTGATCTTAATTAAAATGAAGTTGCGTTCAGGCCAACAATAATAACGAACCATAGAGGTAGCTTACATTTTCGTAGATTTTTAGCAATCATTAAGTGAATCGTTTTTGTTTACTGACTACAGCAAATTACTAAGAGTGATAATTATATAGTCATATTGTCATCCTGTTTATTATCTATCACAATCACTTGGATAAGTTTTATGATGTATTCTTCACTTCTAAATTTATCAAACAGACTTACATTTTTGTAACCAGTCAAATGTTAATGTAACTAACTAGTTATGTACAAATTTATGCATTCGGTTCAGTGTTACGATTCTTGTGATTATTGTTTTGGACAATCTTTATTATATTTCTATTGTTTGGTTACTACTCATATGTATGCTCAGTAGTATGGTTCTTTAGATAATGATGAAAGAATCATTCCATTTTGAGAATTTTCAAGTACCTTAACCGTTGATAATCTTCTTTTGTCTAATTTTTAAGCTTTTTCAAATATCAGACTGTTAAATCATATTTTCTGTCAAATTCTTTTAGGATAAAATTTCCCCGAAACAAAGCTTATCTAAAAATAGAACTGTATCACTGTCACATTCAAAAAGTTTTTTGGAATCAAATCAAATTGAAATGACTAAAATAGACTTCAATCCTTCGACTTTACCTTTCGAAACTATTCAGATAAACGAATATACTTCGTCGGATGAGTTATCTTGTGATAAGATAAAAGAGGTAACACCTATATTGGATAAGGGATTGTCTTTTGTTTGTCCGACTACTTCCAATGAAGATGGGACATCTGTTTCAGTCCCATTGATTGGTAAGTTAATACTTTTATTCTTATCACGTGTATGATAATAAACTATCCATTATCCTGGCTACTAGATAGGCTCATCATTGGACACTTTGTTGACTTTTCTACCCATGAAAAGCGTACATTTTTTCGAAAATAAGCTTCTTTTTAAATGGTTTTTAATACTGTAGTGAAGATGAACACTAGTGGAGACAATCGAATGTATTTGACACGAAATTACAGTGTCTCACTAAAATCTGAGAACCATATAGTAAATATTTTGAAAGCAGTGATGGGTAGTGGCTAGCAGTGGAATCCAGGACGCGCGTTTCGTCCTATTTGGGACTCGTCAGCTGGATTTACCTGCATCTAAGAGTTGATGTTCACTCCGGGACTCGAATCCAGCGCAGTCCGCTTCAAATGACATCACGTTATCCACTTAGCTACTAAGTCCTGATAGCCACCTGCTTGTGCAATGGGGTGAAGTTATATTCACTTGGTGTTGCTAACTTGTATCTTCCCATTGTTATTTAGTACTGTAATTTATCAGTCTCCTCTTAAAAATGTAGTTGTATATAACAAAAAGAATTCTGTTTACACACGATAGCTACTTTATTGTATCATGAGTTATTATCCACTTAAGTTTATTCATTTGAAATAGATGTTTATTAAAGAGAAACAACCAAATATTACACGCTACAAATGGTGTGAAGTATAACAACTGTTTTGTTGATTTACATTTAGCAGAAGTATTTTTATACTTTGTTGGTAGGAAGACGATGGTTAAGCTATGTATTCATTAAACAGGCAATATGATGATCAATGTTCTTTTACAACCACAAAATAAGTTCACATATAATTCATCTTTACAGTTTATATGTTATATTTAATAAAGGATAATTAAGCAGCTAGTTCGTATTAAAACCTGTTAAGTCCCAGAAGCTAGTTATTGAGTATGGTAGCAGGCTAGAAGATAGTTAGGGGCGGCCAAACCAAACATTGAACTAGTCCATGAAGTCATTGACCATTGGACTGAGCTATGTTATCATGTGTAGACTATCTGGTTGATATCCATATGATTGTTGAAACCAGTTGTTCAATACTTAAAATGAAATGGCTCTACATCGTTTGTAATGGAGCAGATGCATTCATTAATTGTCTTCTCTCAGATTCCAAACATCTGAATTCCTCATATTTTTTTATTTCAAAAATTTGTATTTGTTTGAATCTTATATTTGATGCCTAATCTTTTATACGAACACTAATACTGTTAATATCCCTACTATTCTGGAATTTGCTATAACTCAATAGCTGGGTGAATAACGCTATGGCGTTTGAAGCTAGTGTTACTGGGTTCGAGTCCCAGAGTGAACATCAACTCTTAGATGCAGGTACATCCAGCTGACGGGTCCCAATTAGGACGAAACGCGCGTCCTGGGTTCCACTGCTAGCGACTATCCATCATTGCTTACAAAAAGATTGTGAATTAAGGCAATATCGAGGCATACGCACAGTATGCACATATGCCAATAACAGACTGATCAATCGCAGTCTTAAACCTCAATGGGAAGATACAAGCCAAACAATACCAAGTAAACATATAGTATATATGTGTCGCTCAATTTCGTGGATTAGTTGAAGTTAGACATTAACACCGTTGTATATCGGCTCAGTGGTCTAGTGGTTAAGTGCTCGCGCGCGAAACCAGTGGGTCCTGGGTTCGAATTACGCAGGGGGCGAGGTTGTGGGTGCGCACTGCTGAGGAGTCCCGCAATATGACGAAACGGCCGTCCAATGCTTCCAGGTTTTCCATGGTGGTCTAGCTTCAACTGACTCATGATCTTAACCATTGAAATATAGTGAATAGTTAATTTGCAAAATATCAATCCATCATCTCAAACTTGACTGTTCCTTTTGCAAATATCAGTCCATCGTCTCATATTTCATTGTTCATGCATTTTCATACCAATTGCGTTCCGTTTCCGTTCTTTCCTTATCGATCTTCTACTGAAATACATTCTATATCTGACCATCGTTGTATACTACTTATGTAGATATAAGTAACCCACGCTACAATATCTGTAATTCAGATTACCAGAAATTTGTTTATCCAGTTATGATTAGTAAATTATAAATCTCTATTAATGCATCTTAGTGAATATTATAATTGAAAGATAAATTTATTGTGACTTTCAGTAACTTCATGTTTAGAATTATAGTCATTATTAAAATGTTATCTACATTAGTTCTATTCAAAATTATTTTTCGATATATTCTATTAAAATGATTACAATCTATTCAGTTTTATATTTAAACTATTCTGATAACTAAGTTTTAAGAAAGATTAACTTATTGTCCACCATAATTTTTATTAAATTATTGACAAAAATTACAAGGAAGGTAGATAGAGTAAAATTGACATTAAAATTTATGAGTCATTGTGTAAGTGTAGTGATTAGTCTGAATTCGACGACCCATTAGTTAATTCACTAGACTGTTAGCCACTTTATCACAAGTGTGAATACTGCTTCAACTATTTCGGTTTCGGTAACTGGATAGTATAAATAATCCTCCCATTTAGTGTAGCTCTAAGCCAAGTATATGATTGTGTATCTGGTAGATGATTTAATGAATTAATATTTAAATCTGTTTCATTTCGAAATCACAAGTTAACTGAATGACAAATGTAATTTTATATTTTCAAACAATTTGGAATTGTAATAGCAAATAAATTTGACTGTTGTCGATCCTTCATAGTTTACATAATCGATACTTTTCAATTAACTGTAATCGAATATACACGAGTAAGTTAACCTGAACCTAAGGGTTTTGTTCCGTTTTTAGGTACATGAAAAACATTTTTTGAATGAATAATATGGCATATGCATTTTGAAAGTTTCCAGTTTATGATTTTTTTCTTTAATTCAATTTATTTGTAATGTGAAATAAAGCAAAATATTTGTAACCCTCTAAACTTACATTCGGTTGTTGGTGTAAAGGATTTGTGGAGATTGTCCCTATTCAGTATTTTAGAGGTTAGTCTCTCATCCAAAGACCTGAAGATTCGGAGTTCGATCGTCGTTGATGCGCACTTCAGAAAAATCTCATCCTAGGACGAAATAGTCCAGTGCTTCCTAGTTTTCAATAGCTGTCTAACTTAGGTTATTTTATGATGTAAACTATAGTTCCGTTTGTTAGTTTGTTGGGTTCTCTGAACTGGATAGATCAGTCACTAATCGTTCATTACCATTTTGGTTACAGTATCGTCAACATACACTTTAAATAAAAGATTTTTTAAAGATTATATTTCATAAGTAATAAATCAAATTGTTTTAATGATCCTGTCTGAGAATAGGTTAATTTGATACTTGCGGAACAAATTTTGTCAAGATTACTTTCATATAAAGTAGATACTATCGAGAACGTAATTAAAGCTTAGAAATTAAATCACAGTGTTCACAAAACGTAACATCATCGAGATATCTGTTGTGTTTGCTACAAATATCATATGATACCTACAAAGTTCCGTACATTTTGTGTTAACTAGAATAGGGAAAAATGTTTGGAAGAAGTTTCAGATTATAGCTAGATCAGGTTATATCAGTAGTTCATACAGTTACTGAAAGTCTGTGTTGACTGCCATAGCTTATCTCTTGTTTAGGTCGGTATAGATTATTCTAAATTTCTTATAAGTCGTTTTATTGAGAATCCTATCTGGTGTAACTCAAGATCAACCTGAGTGAGTATGTGTTTATTTCTTTTGATAGCAATCGGTCAATCCATATTGGGGTCAACGGTGACTTAACTGGTAAAGCAATTATTTTTCAACCAATAATGAGTATTATAATATCGTACTTCACATACTTTGATTTAAGCGGATTGATACTCGAGTCATTAGCTATCATGCATTTAGTGTAATTGAGGACTGAGTACAAAGCATTCCTACTTGGCTTATTAGTTAGATGGAACAAAATTGTTTGTTTACATGTGTATTTTTGATTAATTTTGATATCATTCTGGGTTTTTGTTGATCTTCTCTACTATACTGTTAAAAAATGTTTAAAATTAAATCGATACCTTATTCTGCCAAGTCTCTGAGCTAGATCAATTAATTGCTAATTATTTGACATTAAATTGTAATAAAACTTACTTGCAATGCCCCTGAAAAATGTTAAGCTGAATTATATATACATATATATGTAGACATTTCTGTATTGATTCGCTTGTTTGTCTTTCTTCAAAAGTTTCATTATTTTTTAGCGCTCCCTCTTTCTCTCTTCCCAATACGCATACCTACGTGAAACCAAAAAGAAAAACTAGTAAAATAAAATAGCAGTCACTTAGCATTTTTAAGTTTTATTCATCGTTGGTTATGTTTCCCTCTCCACCTCTATCTTTCTCTCCCCCCCCTCCAGTCATCCATTCATCCATCCTTTTCTTCCTACTACATTGTGTATTCATTTTTGAATCTGTGCCAAATAGAAGTTAACGAAACAATAGAAAAGGCATTTAGTACTATTGTAATTATTTCATTATATATAGAATGATTCCATAGAAGAAAAATCGATTAAATCTAGATATGTATCTATGTATGAAGTGAGACCTATTCGTTTCTTACAGATCTAATCAAAAGTGCTTTTATGAAAATTTTAAAATAAGTCAATATGTATGAAATCTTATTTGGTGTAACTATTCTGGTTGTTTACTCTTCAAATACATGATTTGTTTAGTAAAATAGCTAAACCCATAGTAAAAAATGCTTTATTTAGCAAAATTTAGGATATATAAATTTTATTCTCTTTTACTGATTTTTCATTTGTAACAATGCACTTGTTCCATCTCCGTTTTAATTGTTCAAAAACTTCATGCAAGTTCTTAAAAGTCTGACTCTGAAAATGTTTTGTTGTTTAACACAATTTAACCTAACTTTAATGTCTTATTAGAATATTATCAACCGACAGTTTTCTCAAATTCAGTTTATAGTCACTCGACTAGACATTGTTACGGCCATTCGAAAGTAAAGCAGA